AGCACTCAAAAGAAGAGAAAAGGCTCTTCAAATTCTTCCTTTAGGAATAAAAAATATATCTCCCTGCTTTGAAAGAGTAACTGATATAAATAAAATTAGCAAAAATCAATATTGAACATCTACTTTTACTTTAAAACTATTTTGGATTTTAGATTTATAAGAAAGTTGTAAAGATGGTACGGAGTGCCTATATATACCTTCACCCAGTTTCCTATACTGATAACCTTTCATATATTAGGGTACATTTGTCAAAACTAAGAAATCAACACTGGCACATTCTGATGAAATAAAATTACGGATTTCACCAGTTTTCCTACTTGATATCCTTTTTCTGTTTCAGGATCCAATCCAGGATGGCAATCCACATGGCTATTCGTTGTCATGTCTCCTTTGTGATGATTTCCATCTTTTCCTGGCTTTTCACGACCTTGAGGATTTTTAAGAGTACGAGTCAGGAATTTTGGAGCATGTCACCCAGTTTGGGTTTATCTGATATTTTCCTTCTGAGACAGGGTTATGGGTTTTGAGCCTCCCACATTGGTGAGTGCCTTCCACCCTTCACATCACAGGCACCCACAGAACCAATCACTGGCGGTGTTAACCTTGAGCACTTGGATGATGCGGTGTCTGCCAGGCTTTTCCACTGAGAGTTGTTCTTTTCCCCTTTCTTTGGAAGTGAGTCCCTAGTGTAGCCCCTACTCCATGGGGGAGGGAGAATGAGGCCTGCCTCCTGGAGGGGCAGTATCTACAGATATTATCAGGAATTCTTCTGTAAGGAAGATTTGTCCCTTCTCATCAGTTATTATTCAGTCATTATCAGTATGGACTCCCGTGTATTTATTTTATACTTTGGGTCACAATCCAATACTATGTTATATATGCTGTTGTTCAACTGTTCCAGTTTGGTCACTGGGAACTTTTCCAGATTGGCTCCCAGGGCCCTTTGACATACCCCAATCCCTTTTTTCTTTGGTGTAATTAGCTTTTCATGGAAGATTTGGATTTCTTCCCCACATATCCACTGAAATTGCTTTAAGGTGCAAGTCTACTTTTTGGTTCTTAGTTTACCAGGTCTTTCTGTGACAATACTATTGATTCTCTTCCTTCAAATTCCATTTCATTTTCTAAAAATTTACTATGGAATTTCCAAATACTAACAAAGCTAGAGAAAAGAACATAATGAATCTCCACGTACCCATCATCCAGCTTCGACAATTCTCAAGAGTTTGCTGATCTTATTTCGACTGTCACCTCTCCCATGCTCTGCCACTGGAATACTTTAAAGGAAATCTCAGGCATCGTATGAGTTCAACTGTAAAGAGTTCAATATCTTTAACAGATAAGAACCTTTTTAAAAACATAAGCATAAAACAATGACTATACCTGAGAAAATGAATACTTCAATATCCCCAGTCTATATTCAAATTTCCCCCCAAATTTTAGTAGTTTGTTCAAATTAGGACCCATACGAAGTCCATACATTACATCTTAAAATAGTCCCTCCCACCTGCCATTTTCTCTTCTCCAACACACTTTTTAGAAGTCTGTTTGTTGGAGAAATTGGGTTTTCTGTCCTATCAAATTTCCCACATCTGGATGTCGCTGATTATATCTTCACAGTGTTTTTTTAATGTATTAGTCTACTCTTTGAACTTCTTGTAAATTGGTAATTAGATGTAGAGTCTTAATTACATTGTTTTGATATATACATATTATGAAAATATTTGCAATATGAGATACACATCTCAAGATATATCTCTCAGTATATATCTACAGCTATCCACCATCTATATTTGCAAAAAGACTTGTTTGGGGGTAGAGTTGACTTCCTAATGCGGCACAGAAGCCATGTTGTCCGGTTGGCCCACTTGCACTTTTCCCTTCCGAGACACTAGCGCCTGGTTTTCCTCCTCTTCATCTTTGCCGTTTCTTCTCAGTTCCCTTCACTGACTCCTTCTGACCAGTTTTAAAGTCTGGGCCCATGTCACTGGTCCATTCCTCCTATGCTAGCTATTGTCCCCTTTCCTATATTCCTAAAGCTGAGGACTCTAAAGTCTGTATTTCTGATCTAGACCCTCTCCACTGAGTTCCAAACTGGAATATCCAGTGACTGACAAGATGTCCCTGGAAGTCCTGTGAGCTCTTCAAACGCATGTCCCCAAAAGAATAAATTATCCTTCCCAAACCTGTTTCTCATTGTTTTTGTTTACCTCAGTGAGTACCAGTATCATCTGAAACAGAAGCCCAAGTCATCCAAAACTTTTTCTTACCTTCCCCCAATTGTCATAATCTCAAGGTGTGTCCCCTCTTCTCATTGCTACAGCCTCAGTTCTAAAATTCAGATAAAAAGTGCAAATGCATTATCCCGAGTCACACACTCTCAAGCAGATGTAGGACTGAAACCTAACCCCGTGCTCCAGCATGGAATACACTGGTATCTCGCTGAGGGCTGTAACCAGCTCCAGATTCTTCTGTGTGCTTTGGATATTGTGTTTTACAACATATTGTGTGACTATGGTTGTAGAGGCCAAGTTCAGCAGAGTGACACAGTTAAAAGTGGGTTGTTTTAGGAGTCAGAATATCTGGGCTTGACACCCACTTCCATTACTGAAAGTAAACTTGGTTAAGCTGGTTAATTTCTCTGTGCTTCAGTCTCCTCATCTGCAAAACAGGAGTAGCAATCCCTTCACTACTTCTCTGAAATCCCCAAAGCTCTGGGAACTGGAAGCTGTGTTTTCTGTTGTTTCTTAAAAAAAATAATGTTAGGCAGCCAAGCCCGACATGCCTGTAAGGATTTAATGACAAAAACCTGACCTGAATGGAATTGAGGATATTTATGGTCTTTGCTTGTCCCACTTAGAATATTTTTCCATTTTATTGTACGATTGTCTTTGATGACAGACTGCTGCCCCAGCCCACTGGGACAGGTTCTATGTTTTACTTTTCAAAAGTACAAGAACGTCTGAATTCTGAAACACACCTGACCCTAGGCTTTTGAAAAATAGGTTGTGCACCTGAAATAGCTACTTCATAGGTGTGTTATAGGTGGATGGCTAAAGAAATTAATATTTGTAAAGTGATTAGAAGAAAATGTGGCCCATAGTAAGCCCTATATAAGTGTTTGACAAAGAGGAATTTCATTAACCCTAGAAATGAAGTGAAACATAAAGTATTTTGTGTCAGAATAGGGTTTGATGAACTTGGGAGCCTCCATCAAAGCTGGGTTCTACCATAGCTTTTCTGTTATAAAGAAATTAAAACATCTGAGAGGCAGAAAAACCCCTTCTGAACGGTACTCCAATCCCCTCCCTGCTCAGAACTAACCACTCTTCTGAAGTTGGGATGCAGGTATCATTTCCATGCAAGTTTCTCGATTTTAGTGCATAGCGTTTTTAGTACAACGAAGAATGATCAGGCCCCAAAGTCAACAGTGCAGCTCCCCTGCGTGCCCATAGCAGCACACACACACTGTGCTAATGATCGCGGCACAGCTGGCTGCTGTCTTCCCTGCACGCAGTTCCCCCACGGAAGATGCTGTGGCTTAGTGAAATGGAATGGAAAGGATCAAACGTTTGCTGAACCAGCGAAGGAACAAGTCACGGGCACCTATCACAAATTATTCGTGAGTTATCTGGGAAGGACAGGTGGGAACGAGTGGTCAAAAAGCCAACGCATCCATGTGAAGAGCTGGTGGGCCAACATTTCTGTGTATCTAGAAGAAGTTTCATACCCATTAGCACTTGTTAGCAATTTTTGAAGACAGGAAATAGATGTCGACATTTATTATTTACTGCGTGGCCAGCACTGTGTGTTTTACAGGCCCTACCTCAGTGCAGCCCTCAGGAGGATCCGTTAGGGAATTGTTAATACCTACTTGAAGAGTGAGAAACACGAAGCAGTGAGGTCACAAAGCCAGCAGGGTGGGACTGGATGGTAGTTCCTTTGGGGGAAGGTATGGGTCCTTTCACTCTCACATAGCTAAGAAGCTGGTATTGTTACGGGCTTTGGTTTGTATTTGTGCCTGAGCCACCTTTATCTTCTATTTAGGTGTATGAGTTTAAAATAAAAAAAGAGCACTAAAGATTTGAAATTTCAGTTGCGTCACCTTAGGGGAAGTTAATTTTGATTTTTGTCTGCAAAACCCAAGCACAAGATGCAACCACAGTAATAAAACGAGAGCTTGGAAAAATAAGCATCTGGGGCTGATGAAAGAAATGCATTTGTCTCTGGGCACGGGCTGAAATTGTGGAGCCAAGTGTTCTTAGGGAGAAACATGTCAATACTAAATCTTTGCACCAATCTTTGATGGATGTGCTGATCTTCAGGTCAACATGGGCACACCCAGGCGACACACTGTGATAACTTATTTAAAAGGTAGCTGGCTTTTACAGATGGACTGTTCCATCAATTGTTAGATTTTCATTCTCAGAAATGTATTCTATTATCAAAACATTGAAAGAGTTCACTTATACCTTTTCTACAACAGATGAGGCTGCAGAGTGGAGCAAGTTCGGGAATTAATTGTTCTTTGTTCTCAATTCTATGTGATATTCAGGCTCTGTAGAGACAACGAAATAACAGGATGTCAGACAGGTATGTTCGTTCTATTAGAGGAGGGGTTGGCAAAGTACTGCCCCATAGGCCAAACCTGGCCCATGGCCTGTTTTATAGCTTTATTGGAATACAGCTACACACATTTGTTTACTTACTGTCTATGGCTGCTTTCACCCAGCAAGAGCAGGACTGAGTAGTCAGAACAAAGACCATGTGGCTTGCAAAGCTGAAAATATGAGCTCTCTGGCCCTCTACACACATCCATGCTGACCCCTTCACCCCTTCATTGGAGAGAAGTGGCATTTGTCTTACTGCCTGATTGGATCATTTTTAGTGGGGACTACAGGAGTTCATGTGGGAGAGGCCCTCTGACTCATTTAAGACATCTGTATAGTTCAGATGGGTTAAAGAGAAAAAAATAGAAAAAAGGCAGAAAACAAGGCACAATCTCTAAGTGAGGACTTTAATGTGCTGAACACTATTACTGATATGAAAAGCCAGGGTAATGATCCGAAGATCATTTTATGTTAAAAAAACAATCTCCTGCTTTGGCAACAGCCCACATCCCACTGACTTCCAAGGGGCTGACAGGGCAATTGCCTGACAGGCCCCCTGGGACTTTGGTGAGCACAGGTATTTCTCGTAAAGCCCCCAACCCGAGGAAAGGCCCAGGAGGGGTGGGGAATGAGACACAAGGAAGGGGCTGGCTGGGGCTCAGAACTTCAGTGGGATGACAGGCCAGTATTTGGGCCGCTTTGTGTCGCAGTGCTTGTCAAAGCTCAGCTGCACTGCCGCCTCCATGGCCTGGATCTTGGCAGCGCTGTCGCCGTAGAGCCGCTTCATCTCAGCCTGACGCCGCTCGCCGGGCCTCTCGGCCGGGGTTTCCACTGAGCGGTGGCTGTGGCAGTACAGGTCGTGGTCCGCGTTCACGTAGTCCTCCAGGCGCTTGGCATCCAGCTGCTGCTGCCGCCCTGGGGACAGAATGAGAGGAGGGAGGGTGCGGTGAGGTGGGTGCCCGGCTCCCTGGCACGTGCCTGTGCGCAGGCCCTGCACCACCATGTCACCGCCAGGGTCCTCAGAGCGCTGCCTACTTCTTGGGGGCTGTGCAATGGGAGGAGTGGCAGAGCCACCAGTGCACATACCACCCGCTGCTATCAAACCTTTGCCAATATCCCTGGACATACAGGAGAAAAACGAAACCTCCTGGGTTCCCTCTTTTCACCCTTGCAGCCTGGCCATGACCTGCCCAGCGGGGCAGAGCTAGTGGGGCTGTTTGGTTTCCAAACCGTGCCAGGCCAGCAGGGAAATGAAATGCTTCCAGGCAAGTCCAGTGGTGCAAGCAGCAGTACTTCCTGCCACAAATGAGGTGGGGGGGTGGGGGGAGTCAGCCCCTGGGAAGGGGTACTGATTTTAGGTAATCTGGACAAGAACAAGTGCTGGTAGCCAGAGCATGGCAAGGACCATTCTGAGCCTTCCGCACATCCACACCACAAATCATACCAGAAGGTTAGGTGACTCAACATCTGCCAAGGTGAAAGAGCCTGAAAACGGAAGCCTTCTGGCTTCTAATCTTCCTGCAATATTAACAAATCTGCCACAGTGTGTTGACTTTCTCATACTGGATTTGACTTTCCACTTAACAGGTTAGTTTAGGCTAAAGCTCAAGTGATAGAGTTATATGCTTTTAACCCTATTAATTTCAATGGATTTCTGTAAGCAAGAAATATTTATTCAAATTACTCTTTTCTCTACTTTTTTTTACTATAACAAGCCCTAATATCATAATCTTTATTTTTATGTAAACAAAAATAAAAATATCAATGAAACAATGCTGTATAAGGTAAAATTTAGCCAACTTACATAGATTTTTATAAGGGACTTTGTGAAGAAAAAAGAAATTGATAGAATGTACACATCTATATTTCTTTTGGCTACCAGGAGAAATGCTATTTAATAAGGAGTGATATGGTTTTAGCGGGAAACAATGCTCTAAATGGTGCTTTCCTTGTTAAAAGAAAGCAAAATGAAAGCTTAGCAGAGAGGAACACAAAGGTGAGCTGAAGCAAGCATGAAAAGAAAGATACTTAGTGTAGCTATGCATAGCCACTCTCATAAATCCTTTCTTTATAAGTAACACCTTAGAGTTGGAGGGAAGTTTTATAAACTTAGAAACATTAAAAATGTGTATGCCCATTTCTGTCAGCCTATCTGCAGTTCATTTTTTACCTAAGGACATAATATGTGGATATGCCAAATGACTGCCAAAGAAGACAAATGCAATACAATTGTTACCTTATCCATGGAAAAGACATATAATTCACTTACTGTGAAAGGCAGAATGAAACCAAAATAGTGGCCTAATACACAAATGAATGGGGGGGGGGGTTTAACAAGCATCTGTTTATGTTTGGTTTTGCTGCCAAATTTGAAACATCAGGATATAAACTTCAGCTTTCATGGGTGTTACATTTCCACTCTCCTCCATGCCCCTGAAAAGGCCTACTTCTGAAAAAGGCTTGGCATTTCCACATTAGCCAGGGACAACGGATTCCCTCGGTCACGTACGAGAGCCTTGGACATGGTACCAATCCTGGGGCTCTCACTTCTAGGGCCTGGAGGAACCAATCCTACCTGGGAGGCGGCTGTTGGGCGCCTTAGAGTCTCTGCATTTAGAGGGCAGTGTTTCTCAGACCACAGTCGTTTTTACTCGCAAACTTGTCAAGACTATAATCAGCTTTACCGACAGACTTAGTGACACAACAGATGTTCAACTTCTTGTCTCCTTCTGAGCCCCTGAGCTCAGAAGTTTGAATAAACACTGGAAGCGTCACTCTCTTAATAAGTATTGCTCCCTGCTGTTAGGATATATGAATTCAACCTTTTCACTTTGGCATCTTTATTTTTCTTTTCCTTATAATTTAACATGGTTACAATCAAGCTTCTTTCTGCTACCCTTCTGACAGAAACGATCTTGCAGATATTCAACTGGTATAACAATTCTCCATCCAGAAATATATTCTTTTATTGTTGACATCTGAGGAGAAACACCATGTGCATACAAAGCATGGCCAGCAGGCAAGGAAGCTTGTGCAACTTTCCACATTCATACTCGGCATGTGTTCATGGGTTACACCACAGGGTTTCGGTTAATAAAGCTCACAATAGTGTAAAAACAAAAGAACCAAAGACACAGCCCTCTGCTCTCAAGTGTGCCTTCTCTCCTTCCCACGCAGGCTTCCTCATGAGAATGTAAGGCCCAACCCTTGTCCCCTCTCTGCCTTGCCGTCAAACACAGGCGTCGGGTGGGGGAGGCGCTCTGCTGTCCTGGCTCACCCCCCCCTCCCCCCCACTGCCCCAATGCCTGCCACAAAGCAGGTGCTCAGGGAAGGATTGTGGAGGGAAGCTTGGACAAAGGCCATATATTATTTTTTGTAAACAACTGTTTTCTTCCAGATGCTGTTAAAGAAAAATGATGACAACCCAGGGACAGGGTAACAGATGCTCAAATCTCAACAGGTGCTGGGCAGAGCTCCCTCTGGGAGGTTCCTCAGAGCCTCTGCTGCGGAGAGGCTGGGGGAAGGAGGGAGAGTGGGGGCATCAGTGACTTGGGATCTGATCTTGTTCCCTTACATTTGCGTCACTTTGTCTCTATTTACTTATATGATTAAAAAAAAATTCTAAGGCTAGACGACATATGGGAAAGCCAGTCGGCTTAAAACCAAGTACGCTCAGACCAGCTGGGCCCTGGAGGCCAGCGCGAGCAGCTGGAAGGACCTGTGTGTACACTGATGGGACCAGGCAAACCTCAGCCATTTGAAAGGCATCCGCTTACACTGTGTTCTGTTTATTGCTTCCTTCCCCCCAACGAAAGACAGGATTCTCAATCACAGGCCGTTTTCCTTCCTGTCAAAACAAGGTGAGGGCTCAGCCAAGGAGAGGGAGAATCATCTGACTGAAGCAGAGAAGCAGAACGTCACGCTTCAGACATAACTGAAGAGGTGTCCTGGCATGGACAGGTTGGTCACTGTTACTGAAAACAGCTGTGGGACTCAGTGTTATTAAGCACTTTTCTCTTGTAGGATATTTGGTCATGGGAATTTGTTTTTTAACACAAATTAGAGTATCTTTTTAGACGCCAGCTTTAAAACAGGGTTGTAGTGGGTTGAATAGTGTCGCTCAAAATTCATATCTACCTGGAACCTCAGAATGTTACCTTATTTGGAAATAGGGTCTTTGCAGATATAATTAAGGGAAGGATCAAGATGATATCATCCTGGCTTACGGTGGACCCTAAATCCAGTGAGTGTCTTTGTGTGAGAGACACAGACACACAGAGCCACGGGGGGAAAGCCATGTAAACATGGAGGCAGGGGTGGCAGCAGTATTTGCCACAAGCCAGTGAACGCTAGGAGTCACCAGAAGCTGGAAGCAGCAAGGCCTTTGAGTCTTTGGAGGGAGTGTGGTCATGCCGACACCTTGATTTCAGACCTCAGGCCCCAGAACTGTGAGAACAAATTTCCATTGTTTGAAGCCACCCAGTTTGTGGTAATTTGTTACAGCAGGCCTAGGAAACCAATCCAAAGGTTACTATGCCTATTAGGTTAAAATAAGAAAAACTGTATTATACTATTAGGAGAAACTTTACTGGATTCCATCTGGGTTCAGGATATAGAACTTTGATATTTTCACCTCAATCTATACATTTACATGATGTTACGAAGGTGGACTTACAGTCCATAAAGGAAGAAAAATCACAGGGAGTGACTTGGGCTGTAGAGGACCTGAGATAGCAGGAAACAGCCATGCAGTATTCCACAAATAAGCCCAAAGGCAGAACATTTCAGAGGACAAAGTGCTAAGACAAATGAGTGACAAAGAATGTTATTTTTGCTCATTTTTCAAGAATGACATGTCTTTCTGATTATATTCTCTGCTATGTTGCCAGAGTTAAAGATCTTAGCACAATGAGATGAAAGCACCGACTCCAGCTTTATCACTAACGCCTCATTTCCGGCTTGTCAGCAACACCCCCCCCCCCCCCCCAACAGAGGTGCTTGCCAGCAGCCTGGAGCCGTTCTGCTGGGTCTTCCATCCTTACCCTGCATCCCTCCCTCCATGACAAGCGTAATCCCCAAGTCGGTGGCCAGTTACCATTTTGACTTTTAGAATAAAAAGTCCCCCCTCCCTTCCATTTTCCTGCCCCTCCCTCCCTCCACTTTTCTACAGCCTTTCACACCTATCTTCTCACTGAGGGGCTTTCTGCACCTCTGAACATATGAACTAGATGAGACAAACACACGCAGCTACTCAATCACTACTAGACGAGACAAACCACACTCAATCACTGTGATGCCCACTTTCATCTCAACTGATGGTTATTTATGACTAAAAAATGATACTTTTCTTATTGAATATAACAATTAATGTTTTTCTTAAGAAATAAGTGAAAACACAGCTAACCTTTAAAGTTTCACAACTGCCTGCTTTCCCATAAGTAATGTTACCACCAAAGTTTTATATAACACAAACACCTCATTAGGAAATGATGACATATGACATAATCAAAAGCATGCCTGTTCCCACTGCACAAAATGAGTTCCTCATTAATCCTACTTGTTTTATCATTAAAATATGTTAAGTTAGAGATTATCTGGAAGAGTCGAGATCACAAACAAGAACATGCTGTCCTGTCTGAAGGATTTTATCCTAAGGAAATACTAAATAAGACTCAGATGATAACAAATTATATATAACATCTCTGTTTCTGTGGAAGTGAATAATACTGAAAAGCTAAGCCTCTCAAGTTTAGCTGTATTTTTCCTTGCTAGTAGCATTTTATTAAATTCTGTGTTCTCTAAATGATTCATATTCAAAGTTGAAATCGCCCTTACTAAGTAGCTTCCAGCGGCTCAAATAGCAAAACAAAGCAATTTTAACCAAGTAGTCACATTACTCAGGTCCCTTATCACTA